GAGAGAGAGAGAGAGAGAGAGAGAATTTAGTCTGTTCGTTGAATTCAGTCTGAAAACTTTCTCTGCTCGACTGCTAATGCTTTTAACAACAGATTACGATACAGGTTCTAATGAGTACTGGTAAGTTTATATGTATACGCTACAGCGATACCTTTCCAGCTCTTTCTTTCTCTCTCTTTCTCTCTCTCTCTCTGTTTCCGTTTCTTTCACTATCCATTTGTATCGATATAAATACGTATACGTAACATGTACACAATAGACAAGATACTTTCATGATTATCTAATGAGATTAGTCAATAAGAATGAATTAAATAATTTATTAAAGGAATATTTTTTTTTCTTTTCTTATTTATAAATTTACTAAAAATTTAATTTTTATAATTATATGATTTTTTTTTTCTTTTATTGTGTACACATATTTGTTCCTCTGTCTCTCAGTATTGATTTCTGTTGATAATACATAGTTGAAGAGTTTCATTGCTTATGTTCAATATTTCATATTCCACGAACAAAGCAACATCAAAACATATAGCTTGGCGATTGGCACCGCGATAACGTATACAGATAGAGAACTTACAATAGGTCTTAAAGAAACTTACAATGGGAATGATAAAAAGATAAAACTTGAAGAAAGGAAAATAAATTTTAAAAAGTAACATGATTCAAAGTTTACTGGTCAAGAGTTAAATTTCGTGATTTTTTTGAAAAAATGAAATTTCATATTTATCAAGGTTATATTTTTTTCTTATAAAGTAAAAAAATTTTACGATTTAATTATATTTAAATATAAATATCAAAATAAATCAAGATAATAATATTAGGTGATCCACTATGTGTATATCATTCCTTTCGTTTGCGTTTCATCCTCGAATGCTGGTTAATTTTAGCATTGAACGCAAAGTGCCATTAGGATGTAATTGCATGGCGAACGCATGATGATGAAGCCACGCCATTCGAGATAGAAATAAAATTATTGTTACCATTATCGATACAAATCGTCAAAATTATACCATTTTAGCATCGCAAGATCCTTTTTAGAGGTCGGCTTTCAAGCTAAAGGAACGACAAGATTACGACGATCCCATTGCAGTGACATCTGGCAAAGTCCATCTGTTCTGTTTTTGTCGCCGTCAGTGTCTCTCATCGTTAACAGCTTGTATATGTATATCCTTTGTTTCTCTCTCCCACGAAGGTCAAACAGAAGTGGATCTTCATTCAATTTAGATTTATTTTTATTTTTTCCGATATTTATTCTAATAATATATGAATCGAGGATATATTATTATTGTGTCTGACATTTTCAAGAAATTCATGAAATTCTTCGACCGCGTTTCACGCGTATCGAGTACCCATGGTATACCAAAACAATTCCAGAGATTTATCGGAAGAACGTGAAAAATTAGCACGCTACATCGGTGGCAATGTGCCATTTCTCTTTTATTCGAAAGAATGCTCAAGAGAAGGAAGTTTGTTTTCAAACCGCATGAGAACAACTTTTAGAAATGATGCTTCCATCAAATCAGTATAGAGAAATTTTCACTATTTGGAAAATTGTTTCTAAGTGCTTCCATTGAAAGTGCACTGTTCTATTTTTCATGATTCAGTTTTTTTTTACATCAATATTTAACTTAATTGATATTTTTTCTAATATTTATCATCTTTGCTTTTCTTCTCTTTCATTTCTATTCATTCTATTTTATGATTCTTCCAATTTTTTTTTTAAATCAAAACAACTAATTGATATTAAATAAAGTGCATAGAAAAATATAATTTTTTTTTAAATGTATAAATATTTAAATATAATGTTAAAATATTATTTCAAGATGTAGAAAAGAAGCATACTTTTCTAGTTTAGATATATAATAATAGTCATAATAATAGATTAACGTATGTAAACCTTACAGTTTCTTATCTCAATAAGTTAGCATAGAGGAGATATGTTTTATCAACATTATTTTTTGTTAGACTGATACACATAAAATATTAAAATATTACTATATTTCTCTAAAATTTGAATATAATATAATATTAAATTTTATTCTATCGATAATTGTTATCAAACATTCATCTTTTACAAAATAATCTCACGCAACTAAACCGAACCATAATTCTGAAACGATAGAAGATAGATAAAATTTCATATAACGAAATTTCGTTTGACCTTAAAGTCCTCAGATATCTACGTACATCTGAAAACTATATAGACTTAAGTAGAATCCATTGGTCTTTCACGAATTTTTCTAGAATTTTTTAGAATTTAATATTTTAAATTTATCTAAAATATTTAAAACAATAAATATTATTGCATAATAATATTTAATTACAAAAAAGTAATATATATATTCCAATCTATGTATTTTACTTCGTATACTTTTCATTTTGAATGAATCGATAATATTTACAGAAATTGTTAGCTCATAAGTATCAAAACAATGTTCAAATTTTTCTTAAGCTGTAACATATTTCTGGAAATAAAAAGTTTCCTTAGTTTTATTTCTTTCGTATTTTTTTTTCTCTACGTTTTGAAAATCTTTCCACAATATACGCCTAGGTAAACTGGAAACTTTGAAGCGTAGGAAATCTATTTCAGGTTCTTTCTCGTTACGTGATTTGAACGTAACGTGGTCGAGAAGTGCCTAGGGTACGCGGAACAATTTTGTCCAAGATTTACTAGCTTCTATATTCACACGGCAGATGAATGTCTCTTTTACCTCGTTTCTCAATTTGTTATTAACTTAATTTTATATTTGTATTATTATAGATAATTTTTATCGTAAAAATGGTTAAAATTTGTTTGCACAATTGCTTCTAGATCGATTTTTAATCACAACAAGATATATCCGTACTATCAATATAATATACTATCAATCAAAAATTTTTAAATTACACATTTATTTGACAGATAAAAGTTACTTAATGATTAAGAGGATTTTTAACTTATTCAATATTATCGATAAAGATCATCGTAAATTTTTAAGTAAATATATTTATTTGTAAAAATAAAATATCGTGATTTCAAATTTATGAAAAATATAAAATACCAAAAAAGAAGAAGAAATCATTTATCATTTCTATACGTTTTATTTTCACCGATGACGAAAAATATATTATAACTTAATAAATAGAAAATACGTGTATGCATGCTCTAATTAGCGTAACTATAAGAATTTTTCTGATCGTCTTTATAAGATATATTATATATACTCTAAGAAAACTTCCACGTAACATAACACGTAATTTTATCGAATAATCAAATAATTTGACTGTTTGTTATCTTTAACACGATTTATTAACGCAAATATAGGTTAATATTAACACGCTCACTGAAATTGTTCGCGATACTTATTTCTTTTTGTTTCTCGATAAATATAGATAAGATTTGCTGCTAACGATTTATCGGTATCGTTTGATATAGCTGAAATGAAAATTACAATATATATACCTCGTGATCGCAAATGTATATTCTTGTCTCCTCGGAGAATCTAACAAAACAAAGATACCATAGGCAACCCGTTAATATTTTAGATGCATGCAAGAGTAGCAACGTCGTGGTGCTACATAGTAAAAGCTGGGTTTCGAGGAAAACTTAGCGGAAAACGGATTGAGAACCGCATAAAAAGAGTCAAGTACGAAGAAATACAAGAACAAAAGTAAACAAGGCGCGTCACGGTTTTCCTTGGAAAGGCAATTTTCAAAGTTTCGCGAAAACGAGTATGTCGCGTGCATATGAGAAACTGGTAAGAAACTGTATGTAAATTTCTACCGCAATTAGGTCGGTTAAAAATTGTTATTACAGGTAGCCAATGATCTATCTAAATATTGATAGTTGTTTGATTCAATTGAATGATACGAAAATTATTGCGATCTCGTGCGATTAGGTTATATATTTTTAATTCTATGAAGCAAATAATCGCCATATTATGGAAAATATAAAGATACAGATTATCTGTTTCAAAATGGTATATTTGGTTGCATCGAATTTAAAATTGATCTGTTTGTAATATTTGGAAACTTAAAGTTAATAATATGATTGTGTCATGAGAGAATATATAATATAATAGTGAAAAATTTTTAAGTTTGTGTTGATATCTTTAGTTACAATCCGCAACCGGCAACCGAAATCACGTGGTGCGGATATAGAAATACTGAAAATTGTGATCACTTGTAATTAGAAATCATAAATTTCATGTTGTGAAATTAGATCTTGTAGTATCTATATTTGTCTATTTTTGTCATTATTTTGAGTATATAAAAAAATAAATATAAAGAATTTACATATTTCTTTAATAATGATAAATCAATATAATTACTTCGAAAAATTTACAGTGTACAAACAAATGTAATAACTTTTGTAATGTGTAAATAATGCAAAGAAAAAATATAGGAATTCATAAATTTTATATTTGATCCTTGAAAAAATTTTTTTTACAAATGTTAAAAATGCATAATTATTTGTCCAAAAAAAGAATTATAAAATATAAAAATATATTTTTTACTGAATAAAAATAACAATGGTTGAAAAAAATATTTCATATTATTGAAATTTTGTTACACTTAGCGCACGAAGAATTTTTGAGCGCGTGATTGAATTGTATTTCAACACGTAATGCGATCTTGCAATAGAAACAGAACCATTATTATATTCATCTGTTGCTAGTGGTGTCATACATAATTGCGCGTATCGATCGATTGGTGTACAGCTGTGTTAACGCTGTAAATGTAACCACACCCGCCTTAATAAATCGAATTGAAGGTCTTTTCCAAGAGCGTGCGCGCGCAGGCATATACTTACATATCAAGTTAGAAATTCTAACAGAAAGAATTTGTTATTGTTAGGTCACTAGTTTAAACGTTTTTTTAATTGAATATCTTTTGTGTATCTAAGCGATGAAAAAAGTGATATGATCAATTTTTTTAATATTGATTTTTTAATATCGTTCAAAATCTAATGTACATTTGAAGTAATAATTATGATTATAACAGTATTTTTTTAGGTTAAATTAAACAAAAGACATTTACAAACATATTTGTAATAATACATATTTTTTGAAATTGAAATATTTTTTCATGTGTTATTAATTACCAGTCAATGTATCATCAATAATTACAAACATATGATAAGTGTATAATGTGTCATTGGTAGAGTATGTATCGTCGCGAACATGTTAAAGGTTATGTGACTTATTGTGTGCTGTCTGAAGATTAATGATACGATTCGTAAACAGAAACAGAATTCATTTTGAAAAACGATTGTTATGTAATCATAATATAAACATAATATCGAAATATGAAATATATTCGATTTGTTTAATCTAATAATTGTTATTTTATGATTTCAGACTGCTCTTAGTATTTTCTTTCAAGAAGCTGCGATACCTCCCTGTGCACAAGGACCTGGTACACATTTTGGTCAAGTAAGTTGATTCGTTTTGTTTTTTGACAGTCGTATTATGCAGAAAAGAACCGGTTTATAAAAATGGAAAATATAAGATGTAACCATAATTTCATACGATAAAATAACGAAAATATTCAACCAGTAGTTAAACCATTTATTAAACCATTATATATATCGAATTCTAGAAGTTTTCTAAATTTTATATATATTTTATTTATTATTGACTAGTTATTTATGGCTATAATTATTGTATAATATTAAATCAATATCATACTATTAATAAATAGTGTCATATTTCATTAAAATAAGTATTAGATCTGAGTTTTTTTTTGTCAATAAATTAATTTGAGAAAATTCTATCAGAAAAGTTCGATCATTCCTTTATTCTTGTATCGACATCTAATCGATACGAAACTATTTCCGCGTCAGGAGCGTTGTCGTCGTCGTCGTCGTCATCGTCGTCGTCGGCTATGGCGGCAGTATTTTATCTTCTTTTCCCTTTCCATTGACTCTCTTTATTTATGTCACGTGCAACGATCCACGACACATCACGCGAATGATTTTATTCATTAGGTTCGTTGCGCGAATCGCGTCGAGATCACGCGCGAGAAATGAAATTTTTTCATTGTCTTTTGTTCACGTGACATTGTTTTATTTTGTTTGCTTTGCGAATACTTGGAATTTATTCATTTCTTTTCGTCCCGTATTAGAAATTAGTATAGTTGTTTGTTTTACTTATATATTTTTATGAAAAAATAAAATATTACTTATAGTATATTCAAGGACTTTGATTAATATTGATCGATTTATGTGATAATAGTAGTCCGAGAATCTTATCGAAGTATACAAACACAAATAATATCTATAAGTTATATTTAATATCTTCTTATATATAGAATTATAACTGATTACTAAGAATGTATATTTATTATATTTCTTTTCCAAAAAAAATTCGTCTTCAACGGATTAAAACAGAACTTTATTTTTATTTTTATTATATATATTTTATTGATTGATTTACCGCTATTAATCAATGATTTCATACACGATTTATGCACGCTGGTGATTTACTACATTTTTGTGCATCGTCACGTAACGTGAGGGGAAGTGCGCATTCGAGTCATCGATTTGGCTTAAACTTTACTCACGCTCTACGTCCTGTATAATAATGTGTTAAATTAGCAACTATAAATATTATTAAACATTTCGTAAAAATATTATGTTTGAGACATAAAAAATATAAATTTGAATTGAAAATGAAGAACGATAATATTTTGATAAAAATAATTCAATTCTTGAAATTTTCAATTCATTTTTTTTTTTTTTTTTTGAATAAAGTTTAAAAAAAATATTATAATGTTGTTATAACTAGATATTTATTATTTTGAATTATTTATACTACATCGTATGCAAATCAAACGGTTGGAAATGAAATGAGAAATCAATAGCCATTAAATTTCATTCCGTCTGTCATTGAGTATCAAATTGTTCATTATCGTTGTTGTTTGATAAATGTTATTTCCATCAATTTCACTTCTATTTTTAGTTGATATTTAAATTTATATTAATAATCATTATTTTTGACTAATTATATATATTTTATTATCTGAATTTTTTTATTTTAATTAATTTTATGATGATAATGTATTCTAACGTAAAATAATTTTTCATTATTTTTCATAATTCTCATGCATTAATTATTATTCCTAAAAGAAATAATAATTAAATTTTGCAATTGATCATTTTATGTAAGTTTCGAAAAATTTTTCACAGACTTAAAAAAGTTTTAACGTAGAATAATAGTAAACAAAATATTATCGTTCTTCTGTTATGTAAATATAATAAATGCGAGACATATATGACATCATAGATAAAATGCATAGATAAAATATTTTCATTTATCAATCCGATCAAGAAAATGGAAAATCATCATTATGATGTGTGCCTCTAACTTCTTATATAAAATCATACGTATTTTACAATGCGAACACACATATCACATATGAGATGAGATCATTTAATATATTTTATATGCTTTTATTTCACGATCTAAGTCGAATAGATTATCTTTTTTTTCGAAATATAAAAACATGAAAGAGAATACAAAAAAAAGTAAATATATAAAATATTACATTATTTTTACATATTATGATTATAAAAAGAAGATTCGTAAGATATCAAGCATATATCAATATTTTCAAAAATATTTATTTATCGTATATTTATGTATATTTATGCATGACTTCATAAATAATTTGTATTCTATTCCATATATTATGAATTGTTTCCAATTAATTTATAACGCAAGCAACGTATCTCTATTTCTTTCAATATAAAGAAATTATTTTTTGTTGAACATTTAGCATTTTATATCTCGCAAATTATTTTCAATTATATCGTAATATATCGTAATTACACATGTCGTAATGAATTGATTAATTTTACAAATTTTTTTATTATTTTAATCTTCATACCGCATTATATTAATTAATACATTTGTTGATATTCACATATGTTAATTTTTTTTTTCTCAACTGGAAATGTTACGCAAAAAATACGCTCACGCATAAAATTTCTTGGTAATGTTCTAATATTTTGCAAATGAAAAATTATTAAATTCAAAAATAAAAAAATAATAGTTACATTAAAAATGAGAAAGAAGTTATTGAAAATGAGTTCTTTAAAGAAATATATTTAATAAAATTTTTAAAAGATATTTTAAATTTTAAAATTTTAAAATATTTTAAAATTTGTAAAATATGTTGATTAAAAAATAGCAATTTTTAAATATTCTGATTAATCATTACATAATTATAATTTTCTTGATCATCGATAAAAATACAATTAATTTAAACTAGGAAAATATCCTATTTAATGAAATCAGTGTCAAGTGTATTTCCAAGAAATACAACGTCATCATTACGCTCGTATTCTATACAAATGCATAGTCGAATAAGCAAAAGGAATATCTATATACTGTAGATTTACACGTACGAAAATAACCTTTACAGGATTTTGTTCTTTGCGAATTCGCAGTGGTTGCTTGGTTACAAGCGACATGAATCATCAAGACGAACGCATTATATTTGATAATATTCACTGGCACGATTCATATGACTTGTATAATTATGTATGAAAATAATAACAATGTTTGGCGGTCTATTTTCATGTTTTCTGGCATATTCTCATGCGCAAAGAATTCTTCTCGCGATCGTTTACAATGATTAGAAATTTGCAGTTGTTTGGCGCTGACATTAGAATTAGTATATACTAGAACAATCGAAATTAATGATTTTTTACAAAGATTACTAGTATAATTGTATAGTTTACGTCAAGATAAAAATAAATTTATCTATTTTATATTTTTATTTATATTTACATATTTCCATATTTTATATTTATTATTTTAACTTAATTATGAAAGTCAATTCAATAGTAAATGAGGAATCGTATTAATTTCACAGTCTGTTGCTGTCATTTGCAGCATGGCAACCAAGTATTTGACTTAATTAAAAAACTCATAAAATTATGTGGCATGAACACGTTGATTCAGCAGAATGAGCTCTTCCTTGTTAACTTTTCTGTTTCTTCTGAGATTAAAATTTCATTTTTCTTATGATTCACTATAGAAGCTATCTAACAATAATTTAAATCAAAAATTTACCGAATCTTAATTTTTGAAACGAAATCGTGTTGAGGTTATGTTCTGACATGGGATACAAAAGTTATATTTCTTTCATTTTCCTCATTCATTTTTATTATTAGTTTGTTTTTCTTCAATAATAATCGATAAAATGTTGAAAGCTTATCTAAACAAGAGGTTTCTAATAATGTTTTGAAGTCTATAAGTTCTCTGCAAATATACAAACATAGATTATGAAACAGAAGAAAATATTAAGTGAAATAACTTTTTTTTCTGATAAAAGTTTCAATTAAAAAGTATTTTTTTCTAAAAATTTTTTTTAAAAAATATTTTAATTTTTATTTTAAAACAAAAATAATTTATTTTGATTTTAAATATTAGATAGAAATTTTTTAAGATTTTTTACATATTTAGTGGATTTAATGAATATATTTCAAATATAGTATCATACTTTGGTAGTATCATACCAATTAATAGAGAAAACAATGATATAAATATTTATTTAAATAATTTACATACAATAATAATATATTTACACATATTTAATGTATAAATAAAAGTATTTATAAAAGAGTACAATTAGTACAAAATAAAATAAAAAAAATAATAGATTGATATAGAATATTCATGAATCACATCATACTATATTTCTGTTTTCGATAAATTTTATTCTAACATTAAAAAGAATTCTCTATAATTGACAATAAAAAAATAATTAAAATATTAAAATATTCTTTATTTATATCAAAATAAAATAAATAAAATATAATCCAAATTTTGTCAATTTTTATTATTATATTTTGTGTCAGTTATTTTCTACTGTATATTTTATATTTTATCGATATTATCGATAAATCGTATTTATATATTTGTGTTAACTATAGCTTATCGATACTCGGCGTACTACTCGTTTCTTATACGAGACATCGAGTTGTAACTCGAGAGCGTTCTTCTTTTCACTGTGAACTTCACTAATAAATTTCAAAACGATATGAAAGGCAGAGAACCACTGTCAGCAGACAGTTGCTAGGTGTGTTACTATTCTCGGTCGGAGGCATTCCGATAAACTGTGTGCCAAATCTTGGCTCAACATTGGATGAACAACGTTCAAATCTGAGGGCAAAATCCTAGATTTCTCTGACCATTTTTACTTTACTTTCTTTTCTAATGTATATACATATGTTGTCGAAGTATACCGCTTCGGGAAGCCATTATGCGACCACTGCAGTCAGTGTCGTGTAAACATTGCATCATTGCATCATGAACAATTGTACTCGTTCAAGTAATTAATTGATAATGTTTCTGATTATTTTATTATACTTATATCTATATTATAAATAAAATGCTAAATAAAAATCGAAATAAATTTCATAATTATAAATATATATACATTTGACTCGAGTAGTAACAAAATGTCGATTAATTGTATTAAATTTTATTTATTTCTTTACATACATAAATACATGGACATGTGTTAAACATTTCATCATTTTACATTTTAGAGATAAGATTTTAGGATTTACTTTTCTTATCATTAGTTATGTCATTTAGATTAGTAATTTATATCTATGCGTTTTCCACATTTTCAAATGGTTAATAAATTTGAATTAAATTGTAAGTTTGAATTTAATTTGTTTTACGATATTATCAATAATATTTTCAAATATTTATTGTAATTAACAAAATTTATGATACAATCGTATTTTATATATCCATAATTATTTTTATTTGCATATATGTTTAACTTTTTAAAAAAAATTTATAATTTATAATTAAATTGAAAAATTATAACAAATTTTGATTTGCACTTTCTTATTTATTTATATATAGCTAATCGACAGTGCATCGAAGAACACAAGAACACATGTGCATCTTATATTGTTGCTTTGTGTCCACCTGGTACGCTGACATCACATTCAGGAGCCAAAGGTTCAATGACCTTAACAACTGACGAGTAGTTCTTACTCACAGAAAGCTACTTTTGTTGTTCTCTTTTCACCCGCCTACCATAGATGTGTGTCGCTTCATTGCGGCTTACGTAAAACATTCGTTGGATATTTTTAGCTTTATAGACAAACCAATGTCTTGTTCCGTATTTCCGAGACACAAGCAGGAAACGAGCGTAACTCTTTCCTCTGATAATTTTCTATCCATCGGAAAATATATATAATTGCCTAGTCAAATGAATGAAATACGAAATGCTGTAATACTTCATAAACATGTATTATTATAATGATCCATCATGGAATTTGTTTAAGATAATTAATATTAGCAAAGGAATTAAATACTTTTATATGTATATATTGATTATAAGAATATTATATAATTGAAGTTAGAAATATTCATAATTAATAGAAGAATATTATATAATTGAGGTTAGAAAATTTTCAAAATAAATATATAAAAGTTTAAAACTATTGATAACAATTGTTAACAAAATTTATAAATTTAAAAATATTTTTTTTTCTTAATGAATTTAAATAATCAAATATTAAAATTTCCTTAAATAAATATAATCTTTTTATAAGTATAAATTTTTTCAAAACAACATAAATGTACACAAATGTACACAGTATGAAAAAAATATTTACATAAAACTATTTACATATCAAATGAATAAAATATTAATAGAAATGAATAAAACATTGACAACATTAAAAAAGTAACAATCATGTAGGTGTTTTTTATAGTAGTTTATTATTTTATAACAGTTAATTGATATTTAACTCTTACGTAATGAAATGTAAGCATACAAAATACTATTCTTAATCTATGTGTTAAACCTGTATTCTCATAGGTTTTAAAGTCAAACATGAAAAGGAGGTTGATGTAAGTATCGATCTTCAAACGAAGAATCTATGTTTACGACTATATAGACATGCGTCCTAGTCTCGACCTAAATAATTATACATGCAATATCCAGAAATATAAACAAATACAGATATTTTAAGACAATTAAATCGATTACTATTATTAAGTAATAGTTTCGAAGATTGCAATTATTATAAAAATATATTTCTTTTATAGATAACTCCATGTAATACACCGGCTACACCACCAAATTTCCCTGATGCACTTTTAGCGTTTTCCAAAATGTCTGCGGGCGACAAAACTCCTTCGGGTAAATTTCATATATTTTAATAAATTTATTAAATATTAAAAAAAATATTTTCATATAATTTTTTCCTTAAATCTTTTTCTCTCTAAATTTAAACGATTCATTTTCTTCATTATATTTTCCAACTAACGAGAATTATTTCTATCAGCAATGTATACATTAATATGAATTCACAAGAATGTAAAGATACATTCTTATGTCGCAAATCTTTGTTATTTTATAATTACACTCTTGTTTTATGTCTCATTTATGCATGCGTATGTAAATTAAAAGGATAAATTCGTTTTTATCATTACAGGAATGTCGCCAAGTCAAAATGGATTGCATCAGAATTCGATGCAGATTGGGATGGCGCCACAACACCATGGAGGACGGTGTAGTGTAACCGGGAACGCGCAACAGCAAGCACAGAGTCAACAATTGGGCCTAGGCGAACCACAGAGATAAAAGAAACTCGTGATTCGGCGGCCCGTGTGTAAGATCCCGAGGTCGCACGATGTGCATGTAAACGGTGTTTAAAACAGGAAGCATGGTTTATAAAAGATCGACTGGCTCCCCAGGATTATACGCTGTGTAACCACAAGAGCGATTATTAGCCGAGATTCACACGCTCGTATCTCCTTATCCCTAGAAAAAGGACGCAAGATTTTCTGAAAAATTGTGTGCACGGAGGAAAATTCAAATAATTATATTAGACGTGCACCTAGAAGAAACGAGATCTCTCCATAGAAAAGGGATCCTCATCTTTCATCGACTATAATACATATATGGAATTTATAGAATAGGTACGATACGATTCCTCTGTTGTTTATTCTTGTTATTCTTTGATATATGTTGTATATTGAAAACGCAAGACGATCGAGCCTGTTGAAACATCTCGCAAGAAAAAAAAAAAAAAAAAAAAAAGCTCTTGTCTTCTTCCATTGGATTATTCTGAGTGATACGCATTAAAAAAAAAGAAAAAAAAAAGAAAAAAAAAGAAAAAAAAAAGAGAAAAGAACACAAGAAAGAGGAAGTTTGCAAAGAGATTATTTCTTTTTTCTCTCTCTCCTTTTTAAAAAAACTGTACTTCTGGGACGGTAGTTCCTATGGTTATGAAAGACAGCGATACTCTCCTTAGCGTTTATGAAATTATTAGTATGCGTCCAGAAATGCCGCTTGTTGTAAATGAGTAGCGAGAAGCTCCTCCTCCACCGTCCCGGGTATCTTCCTTGTTGTTTCTCGATCTACAGAACTCGCGGCTAGATAGGAAACATTTGCGGTTCATGGGACCGCTGAAGTCAATGAGAAATCGAATATCACTTCCACACCATAGTACAAAAAATTGCCGACACTGGATAGCATTT